TATTGAAATTTTCAGAGAAACTAGCAAACTGAAAACCTCTGTCATTAGTATGTAAATACTAGTAAGAAATTAAAAGTAGAATAGGTACTTACATATGTCCACAGGCCCTGTAGTCCTATTGGTCCAAAATAAGAAATAACCAAAATGTTTTTGAAAACACATTGTCCTGAATCCATATAATGCAATATTTCTCAGCAAAACAAAGGAAAGTACACACCCTGCTTGAATCTCACAAATTTTGTGTGGGGAGACAGCTGATCCAATACCATGTATATTGTATGATTTCAGGCAAAATGAACCTAGGGTTAAAAATTCTCAAAAGTAACTTCATCTGGGGGAGGAAAAAGTTGCCTAGGAAAGGACACAGATAATTTTCTTGTGATATTGCCAATGTTCTATGCTTAAAAGCAGTAAGGTTTTATGGGTGGGTGGGTGTGTGAAAACTCTAGTTAAGATTTCTGACATTCAATATATATACTTCTGAACTCACCAAAAATGGAATAAGTGGGATTGAGTTGGGACAGGTGAGAAGCACAAAATAAATTAAATATAATTAGCAAATGTTCCATCTGAGTATTGAGTTACTATTCAGTTCATTTTACATATACTTAAAAAGTTATGTAATAAAATGCTTATATAAAAAGAAAATGTTCAAATTGCATATCTAGTAGTTTTATCTCATTATTACATCCACCTGTTGTCAGACCAACACCACTGTAGTCAGCATGTGTACATGTGAAGTGTGTGGTGGTTCTTTCCTACACCAGAATTGAAACCCACTGTCTAACAATATCCAGACTCCATGAATACTAGCTATTAATATAGTCAATAATAGGCACTTCCTATTTTTAATTATGTGAATTGGATAATACTTGTCTCAGGACTAACATTAGATAGAGGTCTGAACAATTCCCTAAGAAATTTGAGTTCTTAGTATCTCTGCATAATTCCATTCTCCTGCAAACCTGTTTCCCAGACACACCTACTCTTATGAACTGGAGAAGTGCAACTTTCTGTTGGAGTTTCTTCATCAGTATTTATTAATGTACCCATAAACACTTGTCGCTAAAAAAAAACTTAGGTACCTGAGTACTTAAATCTCATCTAAGCAGTCTGCAACACAATTCCTACTGACCCTGAAATGAGTCCCTGTGAAGTATATTCTTCTGCTTCATTCAGTCTGGATCTGATGCAAAGCATTAACTGCAGAGAGGGCATCATTTAACCAGTAAGTTATTAGTATGGCAATCATTTCAAAATTCCTGTGCCTTTCTTCACATCACACACAAAAAAAGGCTCTGTATAATACGTTAGCACAGGATAATTGATTTCCAACTAAAATGCATGTTGAATCTTGCTATGAATGACCAACACGCATGGCTCTATAAAAAGAAGTCATTAACACCTACATTCACTTAACCATGACTTTGGTCACCAAAATACAGTGGCACCCTAACTAGGCACCGTGACAACTCACAAAGAAGTTTGGTCTTGTGTAGGGAATAATATTTCCATTTTGTTCCAGGAAAAAAAAAAGACAGTAGCCTGGGTTGGAGCCAGAAAGCAGCATTTCGATCCTGCATTACTAACCTGACAGTGTGTGCAGGTGTGTGGGAATCTCTCTACTTATCACTGCTCACATTACTTTGTGGAGCAATAGGCGCATCTCTACAACTTGTGTGGCACCTACGGGAAGTATGGACCTTAATAAACTTTGATCCTTGTGATTTTAGTAAAATATTCCATGATTAGGGGAATACAAATGCTGGAGGAAAGCAACTGTCAAGGGCAATTGATGATGTGAAATGCAGAAGTGTGTCCCAGTTGAAGGCAGAAGCCTGAAGTAACCCCTTCAAGTTCCTGCCTCTGTTCCTTTACTCAAGCCCATGAAAGTCTCTGCCATAATCTTTTAAAAATTGACTATTTCAGGTGATATTCATAAATAAAATAAAGGGCTCTATCACCATGAAATGGGCACAAACAAGACACTATGTCAACTTGCCTCTATTTCCATGGGACATTCCTAAAAGGGATGAAACTGTAGACAGAAACTCCAAGTGTGTTGAATCAAACTGATTTGGGCCAGTTTTAGGAAAGAATGGTGGGTCGCTTCTATATGCAACCGACATGTTTTTGATTCCTCCCCTGTGCCAAGAAAACCATTCTATGTGAAATCCAAAATGAAAGAGGGATGTAGCCTTCCCAAATACACAGCATATGCATCTAGAGGGTCATACATAAAACATCCCCTACAGAAGAAGGAAAATGGTAACTTCAGATCACTTCATGCATTAGCTGAGTGGCCTGAGGATTACGTTTGTCATTGGTAATAACAATAACAATAATATCTAAGTTTTATTTTTCCTTAACCTCATAGATGTCACATATTAATCACATACAGAGAAACTATTATCCATTTAATCCTGACTCACTACAGTTTTATCAAATAAAAATAAACTCAGATGAAAATGCTGATTCTCAGAGACACAAACAATCCTCCCTACCTCTCAGAGATAATGATTCAAAATTGAAATGTGCAACTCTGAATCTGATCCAGTAAATATTTTTATCATTTACCAGAAAACAGAATGTTTCCAGCAGATATCTCAATAAGGCTCAGCCACATTTTTAAAGTATTTCCAGCATCATGAGTAGACAAGAAACCAAACCTGATCTTATGTTTGCTTTGAGACTGAGCGGGCTATTTTCAACCATAAGGGACCATGTGGTGAGCTCAAGGAGGTTCTGGAGGGGGCCCAAGAGCATGATCTGGTGCTGAATGATCATCAGCCTCCTCTACTGTGACCTCTCCTATGACCTGTGACTGTTCTTCCATTGTGCATGCAACAGGTAACCCCACTGCTCTGCCCTGTGATCCCCAGGAATCCCAGGAGGAAGAGCATCGTGGACAAGGCTCTCTTTCTGCAGTGACAGGGAAGAGGAATGGCTGGTGGGATTTCTGATGGGACAGTCTGCTAGGATTCTCCTGTGATGCCCTGTGCCCGCGGTCAGACAGCCCAGTACAAACAAGACTGCACTCTTTCCCACCTAACAAAGGAGCACAAGTTACATTTTCAAGTCACTTTTTCAATTTTTATGAAATAATAATAAAGTGGACATGCATAACCCAAGTCCAATAGTGCTTAAGAAATGAAACAAATAATGTAGAACACATTGCTCAGCACCTGCATCTAGGAAGCCCCCTATACCAGTTCATGAGGCTAAGGTTACTCTCATTTCCCTCATCCTGTTTATACCATTATGGTCCTTCATAGAGCTTAAGAAACACTTCAGAAGGACCCATTTGTGCTGTTTATAGTGAGATTTTTATAGGAAATTGAACTAGTGGAGGGACAGCAAATTTTTAATCACCTTAAACAGAAATGTAAACTTCACAGTCCCCATAGCTGAAACGTTGCATATTGGTATCCTCTCATCTGGATCCCCAAACAGTGATGTTTGTCCTCGTGATGAGGAACACTACCTCCAACAGCACTTCCCACATCCTCTGGCTCCCTCTGCACTTACTGGGTCACACTGCTTCTCTGCTGGGTCATGACCAAGAAATGCACATCCCAAGACCCACCCATAACGGGTGCCCAGTAAAGACTCCAACTATATCCACAGCATTCATATGAATACAGTGTCAGCAGCTTCTGATAGGGACAACCACAGGCGGAAACACACCTATGCAATCCACTGGACAGGAACCATCAGTGAAAAGGCTGGAGTCACAGGCTGATCACTTGCTGTTAAAGGACCATGGAAGCTCAATGCACACAGCTCCTAATTAGTCAAATAGGTCCACATTACCCCATCTCTAAGGACCTCTGAACATTCATGAAGGAAGCAAAGCAAAATATTGTCCACAAACTTCTTTGATCCTGACTCTAATTAGGGGGAAGCTTGTGTGTGCTACTTGCTTCTTTCACTTTTTAAAAAAAGACATATCTTCTTCAAATGTCCATTTTCATTGGGGGAATATATAAATAAAAACTATAACATTGTGACCATACCAAATGCAAACTTCACTCACATTAATGTCATTCACTTGTTCTGCAGAAAGGAGGGAAACAGCTCAAAACGTGGCAAATGGGAAGCAGAGAGAAATAGAGCACTCCACTCACCAAGAGCAAAGTAGAAACCCAAAGACATGCCCCTAGTGACCTGCCTCCTCCAGCCATCCTCTACCCGCCTTTTGTTACCACCCAGTTAATCCTGGTAAGTGGACTAATACACTGACTAGGTTACAGCTCCTGTGATCTAATCATTCACTGTGAACCTCCTTGTGTTGCCTCACACCCAAACCATAACAATCTACTGTGAAATGCAATTGTCAAAGCACACTGCAGCTTGGAAATGATGGGCGACTCTAAAGCATGTCTCTAAGGGTTTTCTGTCACTTCCCACCACTTTACTTTTCCTAGACTCATGAAAGTCTCTACCACTTTTTTGAATGTTGAAGATACTGTTAAGGGCTGGGGATATAGCTCAGTTGGTAGAGTGCTCGCCTCACATGCACAAAGCCCTGGGTTCAATCCCCAGCACCAAAAAAAAAATGCTGTTAAGTGGAAGAATAGGGCACTTGTTTCCATGACACAGACACAAAAGACAGCTATTCCATCTCATCTAGGACACGTTTCTAAGTACAGAAAGGAAAGAATCCAGTGCCCTGAAGCCATACTGATTATGCCCAGGATCTGTGATCAGAGAAAAGGTCTAATCAATGGTAAACCCAATTTTTTTTTAATCTCCTCTCTGCCAAAAATGGTATAGGCTTTGGGGATCCAGAGATTAAAAGATTTAGTCATTCCTATCTGAATACATAGCACATACCTACAGAAGGATGACATTAAAATGCAACAGTAAAAAAATAGGAAAAAAGTAACGTAAGATCAGGACATGTTTTAACTGAAGGGTATGTACAATGATCTTGCCATATGAATAATGACTATCCAACATGTATTTGCCCCTATTTTACACATTCAATGCATGGAAATAGGGAACAAACCTTTTCTTTTTAATTTGAATTCAATGCAACTGTATAAAATAGAATTCACCTCAGATGACAATCCTGGTTCTCAGTGACACCAACAACCATTTCTATGTTCAGGAAATAATAAGTGGAGCAAACTGCAGTGAAATTAAATTGTGAGTCTCTAGGACTGGCGTTTCCTAATATTAGCAACATTCTAAGCAGAGCACCAGAGGCCTCAACTGCAGGCACATCTCAGGCACACTCCGACCACTCTCCAGTTTCCTGAATCATAATAAAATCAAGGTGTGACTCTGGGTCTCCTTTTCACGTTGAGTGGGCTCATTGTAAGAACACAGAGGACGTGGGCAGCTCCAGGGATACCCTGTGGGTATACCCAGTGTGTCCAGCTATTGTTGCCTACTTTTTCTTTGATTTTTCTCCTCTCCTCTGAGCCATTCTTCCTTAATTGGTGCAGCAGAGGCCAGGCATTGTGGTGTCCTGTGATCTACCGGATATTCCAGGACTAAAGTTCACAGGGAAGAAAGAAGGGGCCCATCCTGGACTGAGAGGAAAGTGAAAGCACAGGTTGATTGTGATGTGGACAACCTGCCCATGTGCCCTGCGTCTCAATCCATAGTGCAATTCAAACTTGGCTACAGTTATTCAACCTAAAAACCTAGGTTGAATTACCCAAAAACCTGAGCCCCATTTTTGTAAAATAAAATAAAGTCCAATGTAGACCTTAGGGAAAACATTGCAGATGAAGTCAAATGATCTGTGTGGAACCCCTGGTCAGCACCTGGCACTCAGGAATCTCCCATTAGCAATTCATGATGTTATTTATGGTTGCTCTCCTCATCCTCATCACCTTCATACACCCTTTGTAATGCTTAGAACAAGGGTAACTAGGGTGTATTTACTCCCTTTGTGGAGAAAACTCTATGAGAAATAGAGTCATTGTGGCAGAAAAAGAAAATATTTGCATGAGATTTTGGTTACCATCACCACTAACAGTCCCCCTGTGGCTACCCAAATATCATGTTCATCCTAGGAAAAAAAGGAGGCAATGCATAGGACATTCCCTCTTCCAATCTTTACCTCCCTCAGAAGTTACTGTTTGCACTGTGTATCTGGTAGGTCATTACCCAGGAGAGCAGCCCCAACACACCTCCCTTGCAGGACTAACCTGGCCCCATTCAAGATGAATGTCCATGCAGTTTTGGATAGCAGGTTACTGGTGCAAACAATCATGGAAGAAAGAGACAGGTATGGAGCCCACTAAGCTGGGAACCATTAAGCAGAAGGGCTAGAAGCAGAGGCTGAATGTGACCCCGGAGGCTCATGTCTCAGAGCTCATATTTAGTCATATTTGTCCAGGTAAATACAAAATCTAAGAACTTCATATTGATGATGGAAGAAGGGGAGAAAATAAATGTCAAAAATGTTATTTGGCTCTTCTGATACTGACAATGAAGTACATGTGTCCTATTTGTTTCTTCAATTTCTTTTTTATGTTTTATTTGCTTTTTATTTCCATTTCTATTATGGCAAATTCAAAATTTCACTAAAATGAATAATTTTCAACAGTTTCAAGGGCACAGTTCAGGGGCATTTGATATATTGATATTATTGTGAAGATATCATCATCATCCACCTACAGAATTTTTTTTTTATTTATTCAACATGAACCTATTTTCCCTAACACTGGCCACCATCATTCACTATGAAATAGCAAAACCATGAAGCTGCAAAAAACAGTATTACTATGAAGGATAAATTGACAGGACTAGATGTTTAGCTTTGCTGTATTTTCCAACAAATATTGCAACTGGACACCACAGGTGCTGAGATTAGACTGTTCTCCTGTGCAGTCTATTCAGGGCACTCTTAATGTCCCTGTTCCTCAGGCTGTAGATGAAGGGGTTCAGCATGGGAGTGACCACAGTGTACATCACAGAGGCCACCACACCCTTTCTGGGAGAATGTGACACAGCTGATCCAAGGTACACTCCAAAAGCTGTTCCATAAAATAGACAAACAACTGCCAGGTGAGACCCACAGGTGGAGAAGGCTTTGTACTTCCCCCCTGATGACTGGATTCTCAGAATGGAAGAAACAATTTTATAGTACGAAAAAAGAATTCCTGAGATGGGGAGTAAACCATAAAAGGCACCAATAACATACTTGATAATGTTATTAGAAAAAGTCCCAGAACAGCTAAGATTAAGGAGTTGGGAAGGGTCACAGAAAAAACTAGAAATTTTTGAATCCTTGAAATATGTAAATTGTAAGACAATTAAATTGTGTAGCTGGGAGTCAAAAAGGCTAACCAAAAATGACGCCAAAACTAAGAAGCCACAGAGGCGAGGGCTCATAATTACTGAGTAACGCAGGGGGTGACAGATGGCCACAAAGCGGTCATAGGCCATCACAGTCAATAGAAAATCATCCATACATGCAAAAATGATAAAAAGCGACATCTGTGTCAGGCAGCTCACATAGGAGATGATCTTGCTCTGAGTTAGGATGTCCACGGTCATCTTTGGCACTATGGTGGAGGAGAAGCCAATGTCAACCAAGGACAGGTTGGAGAGGAAGAAGTACATGGGGGTGTGGAGGTGGGAGTCTAAGGTGACAGCCAGGATGATGAGCAGGTTCCCAAGCACTGTGACCAGGTACATGGACAGGAACAGTCCAAAGAGGATGGGCTGCAGGTCTGGATCCTCTGAGAGTCCCAGGAGATGGAATTCTGAGACACTCGTCAGATTTTGTAGTTCTGTATTTGTTGGACACCTTGGGAAGGGTGGGGAGAGATGTTGGGGAAAGGAAGTACATAAACAGGAACCCAGCACTCTGTATTAATTTGAATTCATTTGAATTCATGGATTCACAAGTATTCAAACTTGAAGTCAATACTCTTTGATAAAAACAATTATGGAAAATCCAATCTTTTTAGACACTTTCATTATTGGTTTCTGTCTTATTCATGTCCTTCCATTTACACCTAAATATAAACACTCAAATGAACAATATTAGAATACCAGGAGCATTAGAGAAAATAAGTCCATAATCACAAAAAAATTCAGTCTACTCTTCAGAAAATAAAATTAAAAATGGGTAATAGGCCTCCTCATATTTAGAAAAAAAATCATTCTAATGAAAGGAAATTAAGAAGTTGCCCAAAATATCTTTCTTCATTCTAAGTCCTTAGGGACAAAATCTTTGAATTACAATATTAAAAACATTAAGTTCTGCATTCTCTTACAATTAAATCAAGGTTGATTATTTACAGTCAGAAAACATTTTATGTGCAGTTTTTCTTTTACAGATTTTATTTTTCTGATTCCCCTCCTCTTTAAATGTATACTTTAAAAATTATGCAGTAATAAATAATTATTCTTTGCTTTTGTGGACTTAAAAATTTTTATGGTTTTGTAATAATTGTACCTAATAGTGTGATTCACTGTGACATATTTGTGCACAATATGATTTTGACAGTTTAATTTCTAATTATTTCCTATTCTCTCCTCCTGCACCCCATTTTGATAAACATTGTTAATTTCACATAATCAATAGTACCACTGATATAAAATGTGACATTATTGTACGTTGAAACTGTCAATAATTTATAGATCATAAAAGATAAGAACCTTCTTTGAATATTTTATTTTTATACAGGCTTATTTGGGATAATTCATAAAATATAAGATATATAAAAATGTTCTTTTTTATTCTTTTGTGATACTTCTATACTGGACTTGATTGGGGCCTAGAATACTTCATGGAATTTCAGAACATAACCTATCAAATTTACAGATTAAGACCTTAGTACCAAATAAAGGCCCAAGCATAGGTTTATGTCCCAACATTATTTCTACTTAATAGATTTTCACATGAATAGTCCCTGATACAAGGATTGCAATTACTTACTTCACTTACATGAAGGAAACTAGGTTCGTTATTAAGATTTAATTAAGAAAATATGCCAAAGAGAAAAATAAAAGAAATAATGTAAGCATCCAGGATATTTGGATCATCTATAAAATGGCAGTGATAATTACCTCCTGTTTGTGTTGTAAGAGAGTATTTTTAAAATCTTTTAAATGTTAATGGTTTGGGGGCTCATTAGTTAATATGTTCACCTGTGGAGATTTTTACTATTAGTGCACCATAGTAATAAATACAATTGGGATCAGTTTGACACAGCCAATGGATATACTCACCTCTACTTTAGTCCTCAATACTTCCTCTTTCCACTCTCTCCTACCTCTCCTGTGGAGATTTTAATATACCCAGACACCTTGGTCTCAAACACAAATTACTTTAATTATTTAGAAAATTCTGCTTGGATATTAACTTTGCTACTCTCCATTAATACACACTATCGATATTAAAATAAAAGCATCTGATAATATTTGTATCAAAACCCACATTTGATAGAGGTCTGAATAATTACCTATGAAAACTGAGTTCTTTGTATCTCTGTAAGAAACCATTCTCCTGCAGACCTGTCCCCAAACACAGCTACAGTCATGAATCGGGTGGGTGTAGTTCGCTGTTGATATTTCCACAAATCAGTATCAATGTATGTGTCCATAAACAATTTTCCTTAAAACTTACCTGAAAAGTACCTAATGCTCATCTAAGTGGCTAACAAAAACACCTATTACCTTTGAAATGTGCTAGTTTGCATCCACGTGTGGATTAAAGTCACTCATGAAATACACATTTATGCAAAGGCTTTATGTGATGTGCACTACTACCCAAAGGAGGAACATCATTTACCTTATAAGTTCATTATTATGCAAATCCTTTCAAAATTCTTCTGCCTTTCACAATTTCACAAAAGTGAAAATTACTATATAATAGTGGAGAGAGGATATATTTTGAATTTTCCACAATCGATGCATGTTCAGTATAATAACTGATCACCTGCATACTCTATCCCAAAAAAACCAGTCATTGTCATATGTGAAATTAACTTTTTCATAAGATTTATCAAGAAAAATATCACTGAGGTCCTTCTAGTAATAATCCTTCCAAGATAACTGATCAAGGTGATTCATATTTATATTGTATTGGAAATTCTATTTCCATGCAACTCCAAAAGGAGAAACATCACCCTGCAATGGAAGCTAGCAAATCCAGGTTTTCATGCTATATATTGACCAGAATCACATGCAGAACATGTGTAAACTTTCCACCTCCCAAAAGCATGTACTACTTAATGAAAATAGGGAGCATAATGCCTGTCACCACCCAATGTGTATATAAGTAATGTTTAGAACCTAACAAATATTTTGATATTATATCTTTTAAAAAGAATTCAATGGTTAAGAAAATAGTGAGTCAATTCATATATATAATTGTCATAGATAATAGTCTAAAATGTGTCTCCGCCCAAGCAATAAGACATTCCTGTCCCTTCTCTTTGTACCTCTATTGTTCTTTTGATACCTGTGAAAACCTCTGCCTTTGCCTTCAAATGCCTGACTGTTGTCGATGCTGTGGGAGAGAAGTATAGTTCTCAGGTGCCCATGACACAGACACCAGCAAGAGCTGTCCAATCTTGTCTCTAAGGGATATTCCTGAAATGGTGAAAGTACAGATGGAAAAAAAACCAAGTATGTTGAAGCCACACTCAGTACAGCCAGGATTTGTGAACAAGGAAGGGTCTGTTAAAAGTTTAACATTCTTTTAATTTTGATGCTTCCTCTATGCCAAAAACCATCTTGTCTCTGGGGATTCAGAGAAGAAAGATGGCCATTCCTATCAAATTACACAGCACAGACTTTACATAGGATAAAATCAAAATGCAACAACACAGAAATAGGAATATGGCAATTTGGGGTCACAATTATATTTTACTTAAATGGATGAAAATTAGCATTATCATTAGAAATTGCTACCTACTATTTGACGGTATTTTATTTGTTCTGCACATGTTGATCACATAAAGAACACACATCATCTCCTTAATTCTAACTTCATAAAGTTACTCCAACTATAATTCAACTTGGATGATATTGCTGAATCTCAGAGACACTAACAACCTGCTTTAAGTTCAGGAAACCCTGAGCAGAGCTGAAAGCCCTGAGATTAAACTGTCAATCACCTGGCGAGATTCACTGATCCTTTTTGTTGTTTCCCAACCAGCAGAGCATTGAAAGCAGAGATCCAAAACTTTTACGTTTATTTGCCAAGTACATTTTTACCTCTTTCCAACTTCCTAAGTAATAATAAAATCAAGACCTGAATGTGAGTCTCTTTCGGAGATTGAGTGGGCTGGTTACAGGAATGCAGGAGGATGTGAAGAGCCACAGGTATGTCCTGGGGTGGAAAAAGAGCTCTCCGCTAAAAGAGTGTGGACCTCTCTTTCTGTGCTTTATTCCTATATCTCAGATACTCTTCCTAAATCGTTGCTGTAAAGACCACCCACTATGAAAACTGATCTACCAGAATCCAACAAAATTCAGTGCAGAGAAGAACTGGGTCTCATCATGGAGTGAGGGGGTTGGGGGAAGTGACGACCTGCCAGGGTCCTCCTAGCCAGAGGCCGTGCACCTCTAATCAGGCTGCTCAATTCAAACATGACTTCAGAGTTTTTGACCTAAACACCTCATATAGGTTGTACAAAACGCCCATGTTCCTTTCTCTTCTGTAAAAAAATTAATGTGGCACTCATTCCCTGTGGGAAACTAGGGAGATGACTTCAAACAACCAGTATAGAACTCACACCTCATTGCCTGGCACTGAGGAATCTCTCAATAATTGTTCATGATGTTCTGGTTATTGTCTTCCTCATCCCCATCTTCTGCATCACCTTCACAAAGCTTTTGGGGTAGCTAGGAAATAATCTTAAGGGATGCATTTGCTGCTATAATGGATGAGAGTTTATGGGAGTAAACAAGTGTGGGAGGAAAGCAAAATTTCAAGTGAGATCCAGGGACTCTCACCTAACCATGTGTACAAAGTCAGTCTTCAGGGTTGAAACTTAGCACATTGGTATCCTCCTATGTGGCCACCCAAACTGTCATGTTTTTCCTGGTGAGGGAAAAACTGGCTTTCCAATGGGCCTTTATTCACTCAAATCTTGTTAGCACTTACTGGTTTATGCTGTGTGCCTGCTGGGCCATGACCAGATCTCCCCTGCCTCATGCCCAGTGAGCACCTGTTCTGTCCCCAGTATTTATTTCAATGCATTCTCAGGAGCTTCCTGATGCAGACAGCCATGGGAAGAGGAGACACAAGTATGGAGCCCACTGGACACTGGACAGCAGACTTCACTGAAGAACTAGAGGAACAGCGGATTGCTGACAATTGTGTAACCTTGGAGGCTCAAAGCACAGAACGCATAATTAGCCAAATTGGTCCATGTTATTCCAATCCCTAAGGACTTCCTATATTAATGGAGAAAGTAGAGAAGAAAATGAATGTCTACCAACTCTTTCTGGCTCTTCCTCTATGGGAAAGAAAGTTCATGTTCACTCTCCATTTATTTCCTTTCATGGCAAGATGTATTTGATTTTTATATCCCTTTAATTGTAATTAAATTTTAATTTTTAAAAATTTACATCTCTCACCAATTTTACGTGCACAGCTCATTGGGATTAATTACTTTCTTGTTATCATGCATTTCATCTACAGAAAATTTCCATCTTACCAAACTGAGACTTTGAACACATTTTTACAATTTTTATATGTTTATTAGTGCATTACAGTTATACACTATATCGGGTTTCATTTTGACGTAATCACATCAGCATGGAATGTAATTTGTCCACTTCAATCCCCAGGCAGTAGCCACCCTTCCCTTCCCTCATCCCTCCTCCTGATCCCCTTCCTCCTCCCCACTTGTCTTCCTTCCATCTAGTATAATTTTTTAATCAGTGCTTTATGGATACATGTAAAGGTGAAATTCACTGTGGTATATTTGTGGATGCACACAGCATAATTTGGTCAATTCCATTCCACCATCCTGTTTTCCAGTTCTTCCTTCCCTCCCCCTTGATTTACTTCCTCTACTCCACTGATCTCCCTCTTGTTTTTATGGGACTCCCCCACCCCATATTTTTCCTATTTTTGTCTAGCCTCCATGACCAGAGAGACTTCAAAATGGGAAAAATATTTTCCAACTTCTCCTCCAACAGATGATTAATATACACAATATATGGAGAACTCAAAAACTTAATACCAAAAAACAATTAACTTAATTAATATATGGACAAAAGAACTAAACAGACAGTTCTCAAAAGAAAAAATACAAATGGCCAACATACATATAAAAAATGTTTAACAACCCATGAAATCAGGAATATGCAAGTAAAAACTTCATTGATATTTCATCTCTCTTCAGTGAGAATGGCCATTATGAAAAGAAAATAAATAATAATAAATGCTGGTGAAGATGTGGGGAAAAGGTATTCTCATACATTGTTGGTGGGGCTGAAAATCAGCACAACTATTCTGCAAATCTGTATAGAGATTCCTCATAAGACAAGGAATGGAGCAACCATATAATCCAGCTCTCCCATTCCTGGTATTTATCTTAAATAATTAAAATCAGCATACTATAGTGATACAGCCATGTGAGTATCTATAGTAGGGCAATTCGCTACAGTTATGGAAAAGCCAAGGTGACTGTCAACAGATGAATGTATAAAGAAAAAAATGGTTGATGTACACAATAGAGTTCTTCTTAGCCATAAATAATAAACTCATTGTATTTTCTGGTAGATGGATGGAACTAGAGAACATCAAATTAAGTGAAATAAGCCAGACTCAGAAAGTCAAGTATCAAATGTTTTCCTCTCATATGTGGAAGCTGCACGCATTTTTGAAACTCCACATTCCTCTCCACCATAACACTGGCTACTACCATTCTATTATTAAATGTGTTGAGAAATTAAATCTACAAACTTACAGGACTACATGTAAAAACTCTTTCTGGAAGATTGTGACACACCTGAACCAAAGCACACCATGGCTTGTCCCATAAAAATACTCAGAACCACAGGTGGAGAAGGCTATGTACTTCACACATGATGATGAGATTCTTAGGTTGCAGGAAATACTTTTATAATAAGCAAAAAGGATTTCTGAGATGGAAAAAAAAACAAACGCCAACAAAATTCTGGACTGTATCATTAGATGAAGCATCAGGACAGGTAAGATTAAGGAGTGGAGAAGGTTCCCAGAAGAAGTTAGAAAGCTCCACAACCTTGAAGTAGATAAAATGTAAGACTATTAAATTGTAGCTGGGAGTCTCTAAGGCTAAACATAACTGACACAAAACTAAGAAATCACAGAGGCAGGCATTCCTCATGCCTGGATAATGCCAGGGGTGACAAATGGCCACAAATCAGGAGCCATCGCCATCAGAAGCAGAACATCCATACATGCAGAAATGATAAAAAAGAGACCTCTGTGTCAGGCAGCCACATGACTGATGACTGTGCTATGGGTTTGCATATCCACAGCCATCTTTGGGACCATCATGGATATTAAACAGGTGTCAGTTAAACACACATAAAGATCGAGAAGTACAAAGGGGTGTAGAGGTGGAAATCCAGGCTGACAGCCAGGATGATGAGTAGGTTCCCAAGCACTGTGACCACGTACCTGGACAGGAACAGTCCAAAGAAGTTGGCTTGCAGGTCTGGGTCCCCTGAGACTTGACAGTTGAAATTCAGAGACACATATTAGATTTTGTACTTCATATCCCTTAGACACTTTGGGAGAGGACAAATACACAATCAGGCACCGAGCACTCTGTTTACATTTAAATTCCATATTTGCAAATAAAGAATCCATGTTTTATGGGGGCAGGAAAGATGGTGACTGAGATGGACATCATAACCCTAGATACATGTAGGACTGCACATACGGGACAACACTATATCATACACAATCAGAGAAATAAAAACTTGTGCTGCAATTGTGTAAAGTGAATCAAAATGCATTCTGCTGTCATATCTACCTAATTAAAATTAATTAATTAATTAATTAATTTTTAAAAAGTTGAAGTTTGGACCAGGCAAGGTAATACAACCCTGGAATCCCAGAGATTCAGGAATCTGAGATCACAAGTTGAGGGCCAGCCTGGGCAGTTTAGTGAAAACCTCTTTCAAAATAAAGAATAAAAATGGCTGGGGGTGTGGATTGATGGTAGAGTGATCCTGGGTTTAATCCCAGTATTAAAAAAAATTTGAGGTGACAAAAAAAGAATCCATATTTTAACTCATTCACCATCAACAATACTTCTCAGTTATGGAAAACACAATTTCGTTGACTCTTCATTGTTTTCTGTATTATCTGCCTTATAGCCAAAACTGCCTCAGACACATTCAACTGAACAATGTTAAAAGACCCAGAGAATTAGGGCTGGGGTAGTGGCTCAGCGGTAGAGCACTCGTCTCCCATGCGCGGAACCCTGGGTTTGATCCTCAACACCACATAAAAAAAACAAATAAATGAGTGAAATGAAGGTATTGTGTCCAACTATAAAATAAATATATTTTTAAAAAGACCCAGAGAATTAGAGAAAACAACCAAATGTTCACAATGAAATATTGACCAAACATTCTGAAAACAATGAAGAATAAGTTATAGCATTCCTCATTATGAAAAATATCATTCTGATAACAAGAAATAAACAAGCAGTTGAATATACCACATTATATTCTGGTACCTTGGGATGAAATCTTTTTCTGTTTTTATTAGTACATCATAGTTATACATCATATTGGGGTTCATTTTTACTTAGATATATAATTATGGTTAGAATATAATTTGCTCTCTCTCCCCCACCATTTATTTCCCTTACTCCACCGTCTCCCTTCTATTTTTATGGGATTCCTCTCTCCCTTTTGTTTTGGCCTCTTTTCCCTTTTTCATCCTCATTAGAATCTCAGCTTTCTTCTTTCAAAAACTGAATCTTGTAGATGGTGTTCAAATAAAATTAATGTGCTGTGAGTCCATGATATGCCCACAAAAAAGGAGCTATTTTAACGTGTCTCTAGTTCTAGGGGGACAAGAGGGATGACAGTGCAGACAGAAAATACCAAGTGCATTTTTCAAATGGGATATAGGGCCAGTTTAGTGACCTAAGGAAAGGGTGATTCAAACTTTAATAGATTTTTGATGCCTCTTCTGTGGCAAGCAAAGGTTATCTCTTGAGAATTGGTAAAGAAAGAAAAAAAAAATCAGTCTTCCCCAAGTACATAGCACAGACATCTACAGCAACAAAATTAAAATGTCCTGCTGGGTGATCCCAGCAGCTCAGAGGCTTAGACAGCAGGATGGTAAGTCAACACCAGTCTCACCAACTTAGCGAGGCCATAAGCAACTCAGCAAGACCATGTCTCAAAATAAAAAATAAAAACCAAAGTGTCTGGGAATGTGGCTCAGCAGTTGAGTGCCCCTGTGTTCAATCCCTGGTACAAAAAAAAATGAAAAAGTAAAAAGAAAGAAAACTCCCATTGAAATAGAAAAATGGTAACTTCAGGTCACAGGATATTAAATGTTGACTCATAGATTATATTGAAATAAAATTAAGGGTTTTTATGTTTAACCCCTTTATCAGTAAATACTATGAAGATTAACCTCATCACTATAAATAATAATAACACTATCTAAATTTTTGCCCCCTTTTAATACCTACCTTATAAATTAATCCCATAGGAAGCTTCTATTATCTATTGAATCCATATTCAATGCACTTGTCTAGACTAGAAATCCATTCATATTTTAGTGTCCACTGAGTCTCAGGGACACTAAAAACTTGTCCTATGTCAAAGTAGAAATAAGTGACATAGACAGGATTCAAATTTAAATTGTCTGATTTTTGAGTCCAATCCATTGACGTGTTTAATGTCTCCCAGCCAATAGGAAGTATTAAGCAGAGGACCTGCTGTCTTCACCAAGTACATTTTTAAATTCTTTCTTGTTTCCTGTGGCAAATCAAGAAATCAAATCAAGACTGGACTCTGTGAGTCCTTTAAAAGCTGATTGGGGTGATTTTAAGAATGGAGGAGACAGTGATCAGCTACAAGGGGTCCTGCAAGGGAGCCAAGACAGAGATCTGTGCAGAACTGTGACACAGCTACACTTTTTGGCAAATTTGCCCTTTATTCCTGGATACTCTTTCTATTATGGATACAAGTGGCTCCTCCCACTATTCTGTCCTGTGACCCACCAAGAACCCACAAAAGGCAGAAGACAATGAACAAGAGGTCTCCTCCTGGAGTGACAAGAGGTGAAATGACTGTTGGGGTTGCCTAGGGGACAATCTGCCAGTATTCTCCTGGTATGAAGCCATGTGTCCATAACCAGAGAGACCAATTCAAACATGGCTTCATTTTTTCCTAATAACTAGTACAATTTTATTTACATAAATATAATGTGACCTTTCATTTTCTGTAAAATAATACTAATGTATATATATATGAAATAAGATGATATGCATAAAAATTAACGAGTGACTCAGAGCACTCAGTGCAGGCAGGCAGGAAGCCCTCTCTATCAGTCCATGATGTGAGAGTTACTCTTGGCCTCTGTCTCATCCTCCCATCACCTTCCTAATCTTTTTAGAACTGTTTAGAAAGACCCACTTTTTGCTATTATGGGTGAGACTTTTATGAAAGGTAGATACAGTGTGGGGTAAAAAGCAAATTTTGAATAAGGTTTCTGGTATCTGCACCATAAACAAGAACATAAATGGTCTCAATTCTCATAGTTGAAACTTTGCATATTAGAATGCACATGGGTCAGGTTACCTAAACTAACATGTTTGTTCTCATGATAAGGAAAGAACACTTCCATGAATCCTCCCCTAATGCATGGGATCCCTTTGCACTTACTGGTTGAAGTGTCTCTGTTCATGAACAAGTGCAGAAGTAAAGACCTCCCCATGCCTGATGCCCAGTGAAAGCTCAGACTGTGACTTCAGGATTCATCGGAGTACTGCATTATTATATAGCTGCCTCCTGGTGAAGAGTGTCACAGGGAGATTAAGCTACAGAGATCACTGGACATGAACCACTCACAGAAGGACGGCTGGCACAGCCTGATTACTGACTATTGTATTGTCTTGGAGGCTTAATGCAGAGCTCCCAGTTAGCCAAACTGGTTCACATTATCCCAGTCTCAAAGAACCTCCTAATGTAAATGGATGAGAAGAGGAGGAAGAGGAAGAAAAGGAGATGGGGAGGGGAAGCAGAGGGAGAAATGAATGTCCACAAAACATGTGGACTCTCCCTCTGCTTAGAAGAAATCTCATACACACGCTTCACTCCTTCCACTTATAAATTTTGCAGAGATTCATCTGATTTTATGTTTATTTTATTAGAAGAAAATATAAACAACAAAAAAGTACCATGTTACCCATGTCAAGTCCGTGCTTGGGTGGCCTTAGTTACATTCACATTGTTGTGCAACTATTACCATCAAACATCTCCACAAATTTTTCATGCACTCAAACCAAACTTGGGAATCCATTTTAAAAATGCCACAACCTTGGTGACCACCATTTGCCTATGAAATATAAGGAATTAAACCCGTCAACATACAAAAACAGTATGTTCTAGGAAGCTGGATTTATAGGAAATATGTTAATCTTGCTGCATTTTCTGACATTACATCCCAGCTGGATGCTCAGATCCTGAGATTAGACAGTTCTGCCACGGAGCTTCCAGAGGGGACGTTAATGTTGACTTCCTCAGGCTGCACAGGAGGGATGCAGCATAGAGGTGCCCGTGGGATACATCACTTAGGCCACTAGGAAGTCCATGTCACTGGAAGAATGTGACACAGTTGCAACACAAGACACTTCCATGCTAGAGCCAAAAAACTAACAAATAAATCACAGAAGAGTCCCACACAAAAAATGCTTCATCCTTCTCACCTGTGGATAGGATTGTTCCAATGCAGGAAATGACTTCATAGTGAGATGAAAGGATTACTTGTCGTGAAGTAGGGGGCAGAGGGTTACGGTTGAGGGAACTGTGCACAGGGAGGGAAGAAGTGACAGACAAGAAAGGGCTTAGGAGTATCACTGACCAAGTATGTCACCTGCATGTATCCATACACTACAGTAAGACCACTATCCTGTAGGATTAATATTCTTCAGTGAATTTTTTTAATGTAACATGAAGGGAAAATAGGTGTCCATCACTGAATAAATGGATAAAGAAAGGTGGTGAATACACACAATAGGGTTTTATTCAGCCATAAGGAAAAATGAAATTATGTCATTTGCAGAAAAGTGGGTGGAACATAAGAACATTACATTAAGTGGAGTAAGTCAAACTCAGAAGGTCAAGAATCATGTTTTCTTTCATTTGTGGAAGCTAGAGAGGAAAAGGGAAAAGAAAGGCAGGGGTTATTGCATGACAAAGGGAGGTCAGGAGAGTAGAGGAAATGAACGGGGAGAGGAGCAGAAGACGGGATGGAGGGGGAGTGCTGGGGATCTATACTGACCGAATTCTGTTGTTATATTGTGTGCATGTACAAATATGTAACAATAGATCCCAACACTGCACACAAAACTAAAATGCACCGATAAAAATGTCAAGGAAAAACTGCAGAAATCCACTTCATCATCAAAAATCTATAATCACTGTTCTTGACAACTAAATCTTGTAGGAGTTTTAATGAATTCCTATAACATTTCACGTCTTGGCATCTCTGTATGATACTATCCTCTTGCATATTTCTGCCCAAGTGGCAATTACTGTCAGAAATTTTGAGGGTAGATTTTCCTGGCACTGGTTTCATTTCTGCATTTATTTTTGTATACATAAATAGTTTTCTTAAGCACATGCCTAAAAGAGTACATAATCTCACCTAGGTAGTATGCAACATAAAAACCTATTGCCCTGCAATGTGCTGATTTGTTTCAACATGTAGTTTAAAGTTTCTCTAAAGAGTACATACATTTATTTTGAAGGCTTTAAACTGCTATGTGGCATTACCCTAGAGACAAACATCATTCGTTTTTTTTAGTTTCTGATTACAATGAAACTTTCAAAATTCCTGTGCTTCTCCATACCATATAAGTGAGTCTTAATATAATAAGTGGATGCACCCGAGTTGTTTGGTTTCTGTGTTAGTCACCTTTCTGTTACTGTGAAAAAATACCTGAAGAAAATCACTTAAAGGAGGGAAAACTTGTATTGGCTTCTACCTTCAGAGGGTTTAGTCCATTATCATCTGGCTCCATTGCTTGGAGCTGGAGGAGACCCAGAGCATCACAGAAGAACAGCATGATAGGGGAAAGCTGCTTACCTCATGTCTGGCATGAAGAAGAAAGAAAGAAAGGAAAGAAGGAAAAAGGGAAAGAGGGAAAAGAGGAGGGGGGAATCAATCCACAGATAAGGTTAGAGGTCTCATGGAACATCCACTTTTCACCCAACATTTGAATATTGCTGTTCTTAGGACAAAGACTTCAACATGCAAGTCTTTGAGGGGCATTCCAGATTCAAACAGACCAATTTCTAACAGCTGTTCACATTCAAGGTCCAGATACCTACAGAACTATTTCTTAATTTTTTCCAGCATGAATTCCAACCATTCTACTATAAATCTTGGTGAGAAATTGGCATGTGGGGCACATGAACAGGACCAGGTATTTGGCTTTGTTTCGTTTCCAAACATGCATTGCAACTAGACCCCACAGGGGCTAGTTTTAGACTGTCCTCATCTGCACCCTCCTCAGGGCACTTTTAATGTCCCTGTTCCTCAGGCTGTAGATGAAGGGGTTCAGCATGGGGGTGACCACAGTGTACATCACAGAGGTCACTGCACCCTTCCTGGGAGAATGTGATACAGCTGATTCAAAGTACACTGCAGTGCCTGTTCCTAAAAATAAACAAAAAACTGCCAGGTGAGAGCCACAGGTAGAGAAGGCTTTGTACTTCCCACTTGAGGATGGGATCCTCAGAATGGAAGAAATAATTTTATAATAAGAGAAAAGGATCCCTGAGATGGGGAAAAGGCCATAGATGGCAATAAGAACATACTTGGCAAAGTCATCAGAGAAGTTGTGAGAACAGGAAAGATTCAGAAGTTCAGAAGGGTCACAGTAGAAATTGGAAATTTCCACATCCTTGAAGCTGGTAACTTTTAAGATCATCAAATTGTGCAGCTGGGAGTCCAAAAGACTCAGCAAAAATGATACCAAAATTAAGAAGCCACAGAGGCGAGGGTTCATAATGACTGGATAATGCAAGGGATGACAGATGGCCACAAACCGGTCATAGGCCATCACAGTCAGAAGCATATAATCCATACAGACAAGAATGGTAAAAAGAGACGTCTGTGTCAGGCATCCCTCATAGGAGATGATATCATTGTGAGTTTGAATGTTTACAATCATGTTTGGAACTGTGGTAGAAATGAAACCAATGTCAGCCAAGGACAGGTTGGAGAGGAAGAAGTACATGGGGGTGTGGAGGTGGGAGTCAGAGCAGACAGCCAGGATGATGAGCAGGTTTCCCAGGATGGTGACCAGGTACATGCACAGGAATAGTACAAAGAGGATGGGCTGCAGGTCTGGATCCTCTGAGAAGCTCATGAGTAGGAATTCAGAGACACGGGTTAAATTTTGTGCTTGTATATTTCTTGGACACCTTTTGAAAAGCAAAGAAACTGTTTAAAAACATATAAAACAGGCACCCCTCATTCTGGAAACATTGAAATCAAGTTTGCACAGGAAATTAATAATCTACATTTATGCCCTTCAAGGACAGCCAGAATTACCCATATCTTCTCGATTCTAATATGTATCAGGAAAATGAAGCGTCATCCTCAAGTTTTAGGTCCACACAACTTCAACAATAATTCTCAATAGTGAAAAACCACATCTCCATCAACCACCCCTCTTTCCATACTCACTTGAGAGACATTGAACTGAGCAATGTTAGAAGTCCAGAAGAAAAGGAGGGAATAAATTCATGATCACAATTAAATACTGCTTATCTTTAAGAAAAAAATAGGGAATAAGTAATGATCTTCCTCTAAAGGAAATTAAGTAGCAGTTTGATATACCTCCTTTGGTTCTAAGGCCTTTCAACAAAGTCCTTTGACAAGATATTTGAGACTGCATAAGAACTGCTTTTCCTGACAACTAGATGAAGGTTGATGGATTATAACAAGAAAGCAGTATGGACCCATTTTCTGCAAAGGGGTCTCATCATTCTCATTTGCCTTCTTTGTTCATTAAAGTTTTCTAATTAAAAATTAAATAACATAAACAAAAATCCTATCCTTGGTGAACTTCAAATTTTGATAAAAATGATTACAAGAATAAAATTGCTGACCACAATGTGGCATTAGTGTGCACTGTATCTGTCAATGATTTTAAAATCATATACTGTAAGAATATCCTTTGAATAGTTTTATTTTATGCAGGTTCATTTTATCAACCCATATAATATCAGCAAAATATCTGTTATATAAAATACCCCTTGATTTTTTTTTCATTTTCTTGATTCTGTACTCCATCTGGCTTGATAAAACTGGATCATGATTTTTTGATCTTAAACCCTTAAGTACATTGTTGATGATCTAAACACTAAGTAAAGACTCAAAATTCCAAGAGTTTTATTTCCAATCTACTTATTTCTTCTTCATAGATTTTCTTGTCAGTCATTCCTGACACATTGATTTCAATTCTCCTATTTAGGCTACATGAAGTACACTTAGGTTCATTATTTATCATTTCTCACTATGACTGAATTAGATACAGTATAAAATAGAGTACAACAAAAAATAATGTAACACCTTCTTAGAAAACCCCTCATTTGTAAAAATGGGGGTAGTAATTACCTACTTTGTATGGCTGTCATCAGAAAAATTTTTTAACAAATCTTTCAAGTGGCATAACTTGTACTTCTACTTGTTCATATTTTAGGATATCTAACATAGTAGTGTCATTACAACACTAATTGTATCAGCATATCCACATGTGAAGTTCTGAGTGGTCTTTTTTTATACCACAGCTGAAATCGACTATCTAACAATATCCTAGTGTGTAGAACATGCTCCGTGAATATTGCTTATTCTTATTATCCATAACATCATCACCTATATTAAAACATATGAATCTGACAATACTTCTTCCAGGACAAACACTGGCTAGAGATCTGAATTATTACATAGGAAATTTGAGTCTTAGTATCTCTGCCTTTTTCCATTCTCCTGCAAACCTGTCTCCCAGACACAGATATTGTCTTGAAGTGGCAATATGTAATTTTCTCTTGGTGTTTTCATGTCAGAATCATCTACCATGCAGTTTTCCTTTATAATGTTGTCTTAAAAGTACTTAAAATACTTAATTTAAGTATTCTGCAAAACAATACCTATTGCCCATGAAATATGCAAGTTTACATTAACCTGAGAATATACTCTGTGAAGTACATTCACATTCTGCAAAGTCTTTATCTAATGCAAAGTGTTAACTGTTGAAAGTACACAATCTTTTAATTGGATAATTTATTAATTTGATAATCATTTCAAAATCCTCTGCCAATCTTCATGTCACTCAAATAAGAATATCCAACTCCAATAAATATGTTGGTTGTAGCTAGGTGATTGATTTCCAATAGAAAAATGCAAGTTCAAATTTGCTATTAATAATATACATTTATGCCCTTCAAGGACAGCCAGAATTACCAATATCTTCTCAATCCTAATACATATCAGGAAAATGAAGCGTCACCCCAAGTAGTAATAATCTCTCCTTGATGAATCCTTAAGAAAATGTGTCAAATTCAGGAAATACTCTTTCCCTTGGATCCAGCAGAAGAGATCATGCTGGAGTCAGGAAGGTAGCATTTCAGACCCACATCCCACCTGCCAGTGTGTGCACAGTATGCGAATCTCTCCTCCTCTCCCTGCTCACTGCTTAAGGGAAACACAGAAAATAACACCATCTCCAAAGGAATATTGGAAACTCACCAAATATTTGGTCATTGTGATTTAATTTAAAAAATCCATAATTTGGTAACTATCCATATTATGGAGAAAAGCCATAGTCAAGGGCACTGGAGGCTGGAATGAAGTGAAATTCTGACCTGTGCCTCATGGAAGGCTGCAGTGTTAAGTGCCCTTCAGCTTCTGCCTCCTTGCCTTTCTTCAAACCCATGAAAATCTCTGCCATGATTTCTGAAACTTTTTCTGCTGTGGATGATATAAAATGAAAATAAAGAGTCCCTATGTCTAAAACATGGACACAGAGAGACAGTTTTAACTTGGGTCTATACCCATGGACACTGCTGAAAGGAGACAGTTTTAACTTGGGTCTATACCCATGGACACTGCTGAAAGGAAAGAAAGTACAGACAGGAGGCCACAATTTGATAATCCAAATTCATTTTGGTCAATTTAGAAAAGAAATGGTGCTGGGGGTTCAATGCTGAACAGACTTATTCTGGATGCCTCCCTGTGCCAAGCAGGGCATAGGCCTCAGGGAGTCAGAAATAGAAAAAAAGGAGACGTTTTTCCCAAATACCCAGCACACATATCTGTAAGGTCAAAATTAAAATGCCCATCCAGAGATAGGAAAATGGTCATTTTGGGTCACTGGACATATTAATTGAGTGGCATAAAGATTAACCTAGTAAGAACCAACAGTAACAACAATATTCAGATTTTATTTTGCCTGGATTTTATTCATACATCCCATATTATTCAAATAGAAGAACAAAGTATTTATCCTTACTCTGCAGTTGCATCAATGGGAAATCAACTCAGATGACAAGGCTGAATCTAGACACAGAGTTAGGGATTGGACTGAGAGATTCTGAAACAGATGGATTGCTTTTATTTTTATTCTTTCCCACTTGACATTTTCAGTATAGGTCCAAAGATCTTAACCACTGGTAAATCTCTGGCATTTTTAGCATCTTTACAGTTTTATGAATGGGAATGAAATCAAAACCTAACATTATGTTTGCCTTGAGATTGACAGGTCTGTTTTCCAGCATGGAGGACCATGTGGTGAGCTCAAGGAGGTTCTGGAGGAGGCCCAAGGGTGTGATCTGTGCTGAATGATCATCAGCCTCCCCTACTGTGACCTCTCTGTGAACTGTGGCTGTTCTTCCACGGTGCATGCAACAGGCGACCTCACTGTTCCGCCTGTGAACACCAGGAATCACAAGAGGAAGAACAGAGTAAGCAAGAGAAATGGCTGGTGGGCTTGCTGATGGGACAGCCTGCCAGGTTTCTCCTGTGATGCCCTGTGTCCATGGTCAGACAGCCCAGTGCAAACAAAACTGCACTTTTTCTGGTCTAACAAACAAGAACAAGTTCCATAATTATAATGTTCTTCTTTGTTTATTGTAAAGTATAATAAATTGGGCGTGCATAACTACAGCACGGTGATATACATGAAATGAAAAAAAGACATAGACCATGTTGCTCAGCACTCACCCTGGGGAGCCCTGCATATCAGCTTATTATGCTCTGCCTTCATTCATCCTCTTCCTCATCCTTTCACCTCCATAGTCCTTTCATAGAGGTAAGAAAACACTTTTAAAGGACCAATCCATTTTGTGCAGTTTGCGGTGAGATTTCTATGGAAAACAGAAACCAGTCTGGTAGAGATGAAATTTTCAAAATGATATCCAATACCCTCACCTTAAACAGAAAACAAAACTTCACCAACTCATACAAAAACTGCATGTTGGTGTTCTTCCCTCTGGCTACTCAAACAGTGAAATTTGTCTTCAAGACGAGGAAATGTTACTCCCTATATTCATTAGCACATCCAAAAGCTCACTCTGTACTTACAGGATTACAATGATTCTCTCCTGGATCACAACTAAGAAGTGCACATGCCAAGACCCACCCGTACCTGGTGCCCAACAAAGGCTCAGACTCTGTGCCCAGCATTCCCAGGAATATGCTGTCAGCTGGGAGCTTCCTGATGCAGAACCACTGCAGGAGACACAGCCACGCAGCTCACTGGTCAGGAACCATCCACTGAAGGGCTGCAGACACAGGCTGACTGTGGACTAATATAGGACCTTGGAAGCTCAATACACAGAGCTCACAATTAGACTAATTGGTCCACTCAATGCCCATCTCTAAGGACTTCCCAATATTAATGCAAGAAGACGAAGAACAGAAAATGAAGGTCCACTTAAGATTTCGACCCTAGCTGTAATTCGGAGGAAAAATGCATACTTAATTTTCTTCTTTCACTTCTGTGTTTTTCAAAGATACTTCAGCTTTTAAGGCCCATTCTTATTAGTATATATATATATATATATATATATATATATATATAACAAAAAATTACTATATGAATCATAATAAATATATGCCTCAGTGACATACATTTGGCCATAAGTTATTTTTTAACTAAGCATTCAGTAATTAAAGAAATAGTGTATCTACTTCTTAAAATGATGGTCAAAGGACTCTACAGCATTAAAATGATGTGAAATTCAAAACCTTGTCTCAGGCCAGGCTCTAAGGGTCTGCTGTCACTTCCCTTTGTTCCTACTTTGCTTCTCAAAAGCTAATGGACATCTCTGCCATTGTTTGGGGGTAATTCTATCTAATTTGTTTTTGCCCATATTTTATTCTACCATCACATATTAACCACATAGGTAGCATAGATTTTCTGTTTAATCTGGATTCATTGTCATTGTATCAACAAGAAATCACCTTGGATGACATTATTGAGTATCAGAGATGCTAACAACCTGCCCATTGTTGCAGAAAGAATGAATCTAGACAACAGCAGCAAAAATTAAGTGTTAAATCTGTGGTTGTGTTGCATTAAACTTTTTGACTTTTTTCCAAAATCAGAATATTTTAACCTGGATCCAGGGGTCTTAGCTTGAGGTACATATCTGGTACATTCTTAACCCTTTTCAAATTCCTGAGTAGTAATGCTGTCTAGACCTGCTTTGCTCTTCATCTGCTGGAGATGGCTTATTACCAGAATGCAGGAGGATGTGGCAGCTGCAAGGGTATCCTGGAGTGGGGGACACAGGGAGATCTTTGCTGGATTATTTGTGCCCACTTGATCTTAGATCTTTCTGCTCATCTCAGCCATTCTTCCTGAATTGGTGCTGATACAGCCACAAAGAGATCCCTCACCATAATTGTAACATACAAGCTTCGTCAGGGCCAACATCATAATTAAGCTTTTTGACAGCAAGATTTTGTAAAGTAAATTGATTTATTTTTAAAATTTACCAAAAAAAGTATCTAGTGCTCATGGAAGTAATCTAAACACAATACCTGTTGCATTTGAAATATACTAGTTCACATTAACATTTGTTTTTAAGTCTCTCTGTGAAGGTCATTTAATCTTGTCATTGAATAAATCTATGATCTCTTTGATGAGAGACTTCTAAATAAATAAATTACAAATTTCCTTTTGCCCTTTTTTATACACACTTCACAAATTAATTCCACAGGCAGTACCCATTTTCTGTTCATTCCATACTTGATGCAGTTGTGCCAACTAAGACACAGAGAGGATTCAAATTTAAATTTTCTGGTTTTGGGTCCAATCCATTAAATGTCTTTATTTTCCCAGCCAACAGAAACTACTGAGGAGAGGGCCAGTGTTCTTAACTGCAAGTATGTTTTTTAATTCTTTCCATTTTCCAGCATAGGAATGAATCAAGCAAGACCTGACGTTGTGTCCCCTTTAGATAGAGTGGGATAATGACATACATGGAGGGGGACGCGGTCTGTTATATAAAAGTCCTACAAGGGGGAGCAAAAGAGAGAGATCTGTGCTAAATTATAGTGTGCCTATAGTTTTTGTAAACTTTGTGATCTATGGTTACCTTTCTTATAATGGATGCTACCCTGCCCTTTGATCTACCAGAAAACCCCAAAAAAAGAATGGCAACACTAAACAAGAGGTCTCTTCTTGGATTGAAAGAACATGAAATAACTGGTGGGTCATCAAGGGGACAATCTGCCAGAATCTTCCTGGTATGAAACCCTGTTTCAAACAAGGCTCAACTCAAATGGCCCAATCCAACCATGGCCTCTTTCTTTTCTATCTAAAAAATTAGTATAAGTTACAAAAATATAAGGTATTCTTTCATTTTCTGTAAGGTAATAATAATGTGAGCATATGCAACTAGAGTAAGACTGTGCCCATGAAATTAAACAAGTGACTCCAAGCATGTTGCTCAGGACCTGACACTTAGGAAGCCCTCTACATCAGCCTATGATGTGATGGTTACTTCCATTCTCCTCAACATCCTTACATCACCTTTATAATCATTTTGGAGTGCTTGAAAACAATTTAGAAGCATCAACTTTTTACTATTCTGAGTAATATTTCTGTGATATGCAGGACCTGTGTGGTTGGAAACTAAACTTTTTAATAAGATTTCTGCTATTTGCACCATAAACAGGAATGTAAACTTCACAATTCTCATAGCCGAAACTTTGCATATCCCGTCATCTGATTACCAAAACTGTCATGCTTGTCCTCATGATGTGGAAAGAAGGGTTCCAAGAGCAAGGAGTTTCTTCCTGGAGTGACAGGGAAGTGAAAAGATGTTAAGAGATCCAGGGGATAACCTGCCAAGACTCTTGTGCCCAGGTGCTCTGTGTCTCTAGTCACACAGCTCAATTCTAATGGTTTCAGTGCATTCAACCCAAACACCCATCACAAGTTACATAAAAATGTTGAGCTCCTTTAGTTTTTGTAAAATAAAAGAATGTGGCACTTACAGCTTGGGGAAGACTACACAGATGAATTCAAACAATCTACATAGAACACATAGCTCAACACCTGGCCCTCTGGAGTATCTCAATAATGGTTTTGTTGTGGTTACTATCATCCTCATCTCCATCAAGTCCATCATAATTTTTGGGGGATGCTTAAGAAATAGTTTAGAGAGACCAATTTTCTGCCATAGTAGATGAGATGTCTGTGGGAAATAGATTCTTTGTATACGGGAAGTAAAATTTAGGAGGAGATTTCTAGGACACCTACTACAATCCCATATGTACATGTCACAGTCCTCATTGCTAAAATTTTTCACATAGGCAACCTCCCTTAGGTTACCCCAACTGCTTGGTCGTCAAAATAATAGGAAACAATGCTTGTGACAGTCCTTACTCCATCCTTCATCTCCCTCAGTACTTACTGGGTGATGATGCTTCTCTGCTGGGTCATGGCAAAAGACTGCAGATTTAAGGCCCCTACCCTGCCTGTTGCCCACTGAGTACTTCTCTGTCTACAGGACTGGCATCAGTGCAGTCTCAAACAGGAGGCTCCTGATGCAGTTAATTGTGGGAGGAGGAGCCACAAATGGAGCCAACTGTACAAGAAACATCAAACTGAAGGGTAAAGGCATAGCTGATTATTTACTACTATATGACCTTTGAGGCTTAATGCACAGAGCTCATAATTAGCCAAATTGGTCCAGGTTATCACAAACTCCAAGGACTTCCTACTATTAATACAGGAAGAAAAAGAAGAGAGAAATGAATATTGACAAAGGAGGAAGATCATGTGTACTATTCATTTCTGTCAGTTCTTTTTTTAAATTTTATTTGTAGTTGAATATGGACAAAATGTCTTTATTTTATTTGTTTATTTTTATGTGGTGCTAAGGATCAAACCCAGTGTCCCACAAATGCTAAAGCGCTCTGCCTCTGAGCTACAGCCCTAGCCCTGTCACTTCTTTTTTTAAAAAAATCATTGACTTTTGGGTTGGGGTTTTGGCTCAGTGGTAGAATGCTCACATCGCACATGTGAGACCCTGGGTTTGGTCCTCAGCACCACATAAAAATAAATAAGTGAAATAAAGATATTGTGTCTAACTACAACTAAAAACAAATTTAAAAAGAAAAAAAAATCATTGAATTTTTTAAAAAATAATTTCTATTTGTATTAGATAAAATTTAAATTCCAAAGATACATTACAATTCTCACCATTGTTAAGTTCAGAAATCAACAACATTCATTAACCCACATTGTGATACATCCACCACCAACATTTACCTCTAGGAACTTTTTATCTTATCAAACTGAAACATTGTATCAATTAATAACTCCACATTCCTCCCACTCCCAACAATGATTACCATTATCAACTATAAAACATGATGAGAAATTAATTCATTCTACGATATAAATGCACAAAAGTGATGACATCACAGAACACAAGTATAGTAGTAGTGTACATTTCACCTACCAATTTCATTTTATTTCTAAAATGAAATGCTAACACTAAAAATTTATAATATGCAAACCACACGTTTTTCCCTTACTTTGCTCTAGTTTCTGCATATGACTCTCCGTATATTTAAAATTCAAATATTCACATGTAATTTATTCACTCTTGAGGTCCATAGACTACCAGTACTTCTCAGTTCTGTTATACAGATTTGTATTAACCCCATACAATCTCAGTAAAATATGTGAGGTAGAAAGCACCTCTTTGACTCTTTCTTTTAATCTACTTTATGTAGTGTCCTGACAGTATGGTTTTATTCTTTTCTGATCATAAACCCTCTAATAAATTGTTGAGACCTTTAGATTCAAGGAAAGCCCCCAAAACCCAGTTGTCAGTCCCAAACTTCTTATGCCTAAATAATTGTTGTTCACATCAAAACTTTCGAATTCATGGATTGCAATTCTCTTACTTTACCTACCTATGAACAACTTGGGTTCATTATTCTGCTGCCTTAATTAATGATTTAACTAGGGAAAAATTCAAATAGTACAGGAAATATTATAGCATATGTACAATATTTTCATCTGAAAATGAGAATAAAAATTATCAAGATTATTAGTTGAAGAAAAGCCTTTTAAAATCTATTAAATTGCATAAACTAGTACTCTAAGTCCCACTGATCAATACACTTGCCGATGGATATTTTAAAGTATTCAGGTGCCTTGGTCTCAAACCAAACCTATGTAATCAGAATATCTGCATATGGCATTTTTGGTGATCCTTCTTTACACGGGTTCTGAGGACCACTTCTGTTCAGTCAGCTTTCTCACTGCTGTGACCAACAAACCTGACAAGAACAGTTTTAAGGAGAAAAAATTTATTTGGGGCTCACAATTTCAGAGATCTTAGTCCACAGATGGCCAACTCCATTCCCCATAACCTAAAATGAGGCAGACCATATGGTGAGGGAACGTAGCTCAAAACATGGCACTGGCTGGGTACAATGGCACATGCCTATAATCCCAGTGACTCACAAGGCAGAGGCAGGAGGATCTCAAGTTCAAAGT